CTGTGGTGACCAAATGTCCTGAACAAACACTCCCTCATACTACTGTGTGCAAGCAATGGACCGTGCTTGGAGGGAGACAGCAAAGGGACAAAGGGACAGAGTGGCCACAAGCTCTCCAGCAAAAGGAGCCCTGCTGACTCAACCAAGGGAGGCCTGAGGAAATGCTGTGGGGGCTGAATCCAGCTTTGTACAGAAAATCAGGCTGGAGAAAGGGTAGACCGAGGTTGCTTTTGCACACTGAGCATCGATTTTCTCTTCCGGAACCAGCACAGGCCCCCCAGCTGTCCCCCAGGGCGTCTCCTGTTCCCTGCTCCACCCACTTCTCCACTCTGTGGTTTAATCCGGGATGAGACTGCTGTAAAATCAGGGTGATGCTGGGGGACGCTGCAGCTGGTTGAAGTGTGACTTGCCAGTCTAGCAGATCTAGGCCTAACACGGATAAACAAGGTTCCCGGGTGTGAGGTGTAGAAGTCCAGGAGTGTTCCTGCAAAGCCGGCTGCATCCCTAATGGTCCAGACACCACTGCCTTAGCTGTCATGGAAGAAAAAAGGCGTTGCGTGCTGCCTGCTTCTGCACACGGCTCTACTCCAAACTGAAGCCATGTGTGCCTCACTGGTAGAGTCTATGTCATCTGACAGCACTGTGGCTGCTGGACAGATGGGGACAGAGAATCAGCCGGCTTCCTTGCACAAACGAGCATCATTGTGTCCCCTAAGTAGGAAAGGTATTTGAAAACAAGTTGCTCGGAACCATGGCAAATGTCCACAAGCAATAAGCATATGCTCGAACCAAGCTACCGAGAGCCAGTCCTGACACTGGCTGCCACGCTAAGGATTCTCTTTCCTCTGGGGTCATTTGGTTACAATATGAGCCTGGATCTTCTAGAAGACTTTTTTTTTTTTTTTCCCGCGACAAAACAATCTGAGAACTAGGTGAGTACAGAGAAAACAGTGCCTAGAGATGGAGAAGGAAATATTCTGATGGAATTATTCAAAAACAACTGACCTAGGAGCTGGAAAGCTCTGGCCTTTCTGATAAACTCTTTCTTTTCTCTGTATTGGCTTTGGTTGGCTTTTCATTGCATGCAGCCAAGAATTCTCACTAAAGACTCCGTCCTGTGCGGCTGGTTCTGCAGGTCAGCGCCACTGTGACTTAGCTGGCAGGGGC